CCTCCGAGACAAGCCAGTTCAGACCCCCCCCCCGTGGGAGAACCCTCCAAAACATCGTCCCCAGACCCCCCCAGGCCCTCCAAGACAGCCTGGAAGAGACCCCCCCGCGAAATGAGACCCCCCTCCCTTTGTTACGAAATCTGGAGTAGGCGTTTGTGGAGGGGGCAGCCCTCGCCGCGGCCCACGGCGTGACCCGCGGAGCGAGGCGCCGGACGCTCGCCAGGGACGCAGGATGGCCGGGGGCCAGCGGCTGCAGCGCGGGCGGTGGGCACCGAATGGCGCCCGGATGGCCTCATGGAGGGACCTGCCACGGGGGGGAGCACTTCAATTGAAAATCGGGGATGGACAGACCCCCCTTTAGTAAAACGTGGTTTAGTGAAAACGACCTGAGGCCCAAGCCTGGCGGGCGCAAGCCTGGAAAATAACGGCCACGGCGCCCTCTCGAGAACCGAAAACGGACAAGTCACGAATCGACGTGTCACTGTTGGGGGTTCTGTCCACCGCCGAGAAAAACACAATGGTCACCAGAGGGGGGGCAACAATAGCTAGCATTCAGCAGTGGGAGTTCAAAAACAACCACAACAACAACCTTATCATCCACAACAGCAACAACACCAACAACAACACCACCACCAACAACAACACCAACAGCAACAATAGCAAAAACAGCACCACCACCAGCAGCAACAACAACAACAGCAACAGCAACAACACCAACAACAGCACCACCACCATCACTAACAACAGCATCATCAACACCATCAACATCACCAACAGCATTAACGACAACAACAATCATGTTAAGGCTGTTCGCTTTCGCCTGCTCGCGTGCCATCCAACACGTGCATCCCGAACCCTCGGCACCTGCCCTCTCCGTCTTCGATCGTACCGCCCTGGGGGTATATCTTCCTTACCTGCCGCCTATAATTGGTGCAGCCCCTGGAACAAGGGAAGAGAGGACGGATGGTAGGGGGAAGGAGACGGATGGAGCACGGGATTAGCAGAAAGGGGGCTGGAAGCAGAAAGCACGTGGCAGAACCAGACAGGCCCATGGTAGATCCTAACGGACGGGTCGCGAATGCGGACACAAGCGGCCAGATCGAGAAGGCGTGTTGCCGACGAGTGAGTATTGCATGAATCGCGAGGCCGTGTCGAGCGATAGCGCGATTCCTAAATGAATCATGAGACGGGTCATAAGCAAGAGCGTGCTTCCTGAGTGTCGAGGGCGCGGCGTCTGAATAAGTTGCGAGGAAGTTCCACGCGAGAGCGCGATTCCTGCATAACTTGTGAGAAAGCGAGTGTGCGATGTTGGAAGAAATTGCGAGGAGGTCTCAGGCGGGAGCCGTTGCTGCTGTAGTTCGGGGCCCAACAATCCAGTTTGGTGACACCAAGCTTCCCCTTACAAAGAACCGAGTGCGAGCCCCGAAGGGAGCACTTCAACTAAAACATACAATTGCTACCAGAGGGGGGATCAACAATACTTACGCTGGATTTCTTAAGAAGCGTGGGGGGGTCCCCGCCGACGGGGGTCAACCTCGCCTCGTCGTCGCGCCGCGACGGGGGTCGGAGCGCCTTCGGCGCGCGGAGGCTGCCCGCGACGGGGGTCGATGTGGGGCTGCCAGCGGGGGTGGCGACCCCCCGACGCCTATAGAGACTCGGAGCATTGCTCAAAAGTGAGAATTCAACAACGACGGCGACGGAGGGGCAACGACGACGCCAGAAGGAAGCCTACGCCAAGGACGCGGCACTACGCTCACCTTGCGGAAGTGCTGCAGCGGACTGTTGCGTGGATTTCTGCCAATACAAGACCCCGAAGCGGCGAGCCAACAACGAAGTGACTTGCACGTGGATCTCTTGTTTTAGTCTTCATCCCTGGCCAAAAAGAAAGATCCGCACGGAATCCCCTTCAAAGTCCGAAGCGAGTACTCCAGATTTCGTAATAAAAGGGAGGGAGTCTGGACCCTCCAAGACAAGCCATTTCAGACCACCCCCCGTAGGAGAACCCTCCAAAACATCGTCCCCAGACCCCCCCAGGCCCTCCAAGACAGCCTGGAAGAGACCCCCCCCGAAATGAGACCCCCTCCCTTTTATTACGAAATCTGGAGTAAAATCTCCGGGCCACCCCGGGCCAACCCTGCCGTTCTCCGAGCGCCTTCCCTCTCCGGGATCGGCCCCACGGGCCAGCGCCAGAAGGCAGCCGACGCCGAGGACGCGGCGAGAAGCACGGCGATTAGGGAGCCCACAAAGAACGTACGCGCCCAGCTCTGTACATGAACACGGCCCCTTGACCCGCGAGACCGGCCGCGTGATACGAGTATTCGCGCAATGCGAAATCTCGAAAACAGCGTGGATTCATGTACGTGTACGTCCTGCTTTCGCTCCTCAGCGATAGGGGCCCGACGGGGCGGCGGCACGGTCCCGGCGGGACGTTGGGCGGCACGGTGAGGCTCAGCTCCTGGCCGTCGGGCGCGGAATAGACCAGCTTGGTGCCCGCCACGGCCTCGCCACGGGAGCACGGCCGGGCACACGGGGGGCGGCGCAGCACGGCGGGGCCTCCTCCTCCTCCTCCTCCCTCCTCCTCCTCGTCCCTCCTCCTCCTCCTCCTCCCTCCTCCTCCTTCTTGTTTCTCCTCCTCCTCCTCCTCCCTCTCCCCCTTCTCCTCCTCCTCCTCCTTGCTCCTTCTCCTTCTGCTCCTCCTCCTTCTGCTCCTCCTCCTCCTCTTGATCTCAATCACAGCCATTACCATCAGCGGCATCATCAGAATCGGCATCAGCATCAGCATCATCAGCATCAGCATCAGCATCAGCATCATCAGTATCATCATCATCATCATCATCATCATCATCATCATCAGCAGCAGCAGCAGCAGCAGCATCATAATCGTCATCATCAGCATCAGCATCATCATCAGCATCATCATCAGCAGCAGCATCATCGATATCATCATCGTCATCATGATGATCAGCATCACAACCCTCAGAAACATCAGCATCATGAACAGCATCACTTTCATCATCATTATCACCAACAACGACAACAACAGCAGCAACAACACAGCATCAACATGAACAGCAACAACCTCACCACCACCAGCCATAACTATATCAGGATCATCATCACAATCAGCATCGTCGTCATCAGCATCGTCATCATCATCAGCATCATCATCGCCGTTATCATCAACCTTCTCCTTCGCCTCCTCCTCCTACCTCCTCCTCCTCCTTCTTCTCCTCCCTCCTCCTGCTTCCTCCTCCTCCTCCTTTTGCTTCTCCTCATCCTGCTCTTTCTCCTCTTGCTCTTCCTCTTCCTCACCATCAGACATTATCATCATCAGCATCATCAGAATCGGCATCATCAGCAACATCATCATCAGCAGCAGCAACATCCACATCATCATCATCAGCATCATCGTCATCATCATCACCATCCTCATCAGCAACAGCAGCGGCGGCAGCATCGTCATCATTATCATCACCAGCCATCATCATCACCATCAGCATCATCATCACCAGCAGCATCAGCATCAGCATCGTCATCACCTTCAGCATCCTCATCCTCATCCTCAACATCCTCATCACCATCATCATCGTCACCGTCACCATCATCATCAGCATCATCATCACCACCATCATCATCACCACCACCACCACCACCATCATCATCATCATCATCATCATCATCCTCATCCTCATCCTCATCCTCATCCTCATCATCATCATCATCATCAGCATCAGCATCAGCATCATCATCATCATCATCATCATCATCATCATCATCATCGTTTTCCTCTCGTCCTCCTCTTCCGCCTACCTCCTCCACCTCCTACACCTCCTCCTCTTCCCTCCTCTTTCTGCATCCTCCTCCACCTCCTTCTCTTTCCTCCTCCTCCTCCTCCTCCTCATCCTCCTCCTCCTCCTGCTCCTCCTCATCCTCCTTCCTCATCCTCCACCTTCTGCTCCCCATCCTCGTCCCCATCCTCCTGCTTATCACCAGCCAATACCATAGTCATCCGCAGCAGCATCATCGTCATCAGCATCAACATTACCAGCATACATCATCCTCATCATCATCATCATCATCATCATCATCATCATCAGCAGCAGCAGCATCATCAGCATCATCATCATCAGCATCATCATCATTATCATCATCATGATCAGCATCAGCATCATCATCAGCATCGGCATCATCATCATCATCAGCATCATCCTCATCATCATCATCATCGTCACCGTCATCAGCATCAACAACATAAATACCATCATCATCACCATCAGCATCAGCCTCAGCAGCGTCATCATCATCATCATCATCATCATCATCAGCATCATCATCATCATCATCATCATCATCAGCATCATCATCATCATCGTCATCGTCATCATCATCCTCATCACCAGCATCTTCCTCATCATCGTCACAGGAAGCAGCATCATTATCAGCAGCAGCATCATCGTCATCACCATCAGCAGCAGCAGCATCAACATCATCATCAACATCATCAGCATCATCAACATCAGCATCCGTATCAGCGTCATCATCATCAGCTGCATCAGCATCAGCATCATCAACATCTTCATCATCTTCATCATCACATTCATCCGCCTCCTCCTCATCATCAGCACCATCACCTTCAGTATCATCATTGTCAACGTGGCCGTCGTCGCCGTTGGATCGTCAGTACCAACATCAGCATCAGCATCGTCACTATCATCATCATCATCATCATCACCATCATCCTCATCAGCATCAACATCATCATCATCATCATCATCATCATCATCATCATCATCAGTAGCATCATCATCATCAGCAGCATCAGCATCAGCAGCACAAGCAGCAGCCGCAGAATCCCCAACCATCGTTATCATCCGCAGCATAAACATCAGCAGCATCATCATCAAGATCATCAGCATCAGCATCATCATCAACATCATCATCAGCAGCAGCATCAGCACCAGCAGCATCACCATCACCAACAGCATCATCATCAACATCAACACCGTCATCAACCACCATCAGCAGCATCAGCAAACTCAGCATCATCACCGTAAGCAGCGTCATCATCATCAGCATCAGCACCAGCATCGACATCAGCGGCATCATCTTCATCAGCATCATCATCAATCACCATCATCAGCATCAGCGGCATGAGCCTCATCATCATCGGCATCGCCATCAACATCATCATCATCAGCAGCAGCATCGTCAGCAGCAGCAGCATCGGCATCATCAGTTTCGTCATCTCCATCCGCATCATCATTATCAGCAAACTCATCATCATCACCATCAGCATCATAATCGCCAGCATCAGCCTCATCAGCCGGATCATCATCAGCATCATCAGCAACAGCATCATCAGCATCAGTCTCATCATCGTCAGCATCATCGTCATCCTCAGCTTCAGCATCAGCATCACCGACATCATCACCAGCATCGTCATCTTCAGCATCGTCATCATCGGCATCAGCATCAGCATCATCATCATCATCATCATCATCATCAGCCGCATCATCGTCATTATCAGCTTCAGCATCAGCATCATCGTCGCCACCATTAGCAGCAGCAGCAGAAGCATCATCAGCACTGTCATCAGCATCATCATCATCATAATATTCATCAACAGCATCGTCATCCTCATGATCATCATCACCATCAGCATCGTCGTCATCACCAGCATCAGTATCAGCATCAGCATCATCAGGATCATCCGCATCATTATCATGAGCATCCGCATCACCATAACCATCATCACCAGCACCATGAGCATCATCATCAACATCATCATCAACATCATCATCAGCAGCAGCATAAGCATTGTCAGCATCACAGGATCCCAACGAACACACACGAGGCGTCATATCCACAGCCCAGGCACGGTGGCGGGATGGGACGATGGCCGTAACTAACTACACACACACATACACACTTCACACGTTTCGTGGCCCCATTGAGGGCCCCCAGCGACGGCCTCAGTGGGCGCAGACGCATGGCGGCAACCCGCCAATCTCGGCACACCCATCGCGAGGATCCCCCACCCCCTTCGGGAACTCCACCAACGGTCTCGGTGCACTCACGCGCATGGCGGCACCGCGCCCCTCTCGGTACGCCCCTCACGAGGATCGTCCGCTCGCTGAGGGGAACGCCTCCAACGGTCTCAGTGGGCTCAGACGCGTTGCGGCACTGCGCCCATCTCGGCACACACACACACACACACACACACACACGCACGCACACACGCACACACACACACACACGCACACACACACACACATACACACACACACACACACACACACGCACGCGCGCGCGCACACACACACACGCACGCCTCGCAAGGATCTCCCGCCTCGTTGGGAGCTCCACCTGCGGTCCCAGTGGGTGCAGACGCATGGCGATGTCGCGCTCACTTCGGCGCAACCCGCACGAGGATCGTCCACCCATGATAGGGGCTCCACCGACGGCGCCAGTAGGAGGGTACGTATGGCGGCATCGCCACCATCTCGGCATACCCCGCACGAGGACTGTCACCCACAGTTTCAATGGGCGCGGGCGCGTGGCGGCTGAGGAGGAGGAGGAGGAGGAGGGAGGAGGAGGGAGGAGGGGGGAGGAGGGAGGAGGACTGTGACCCACAGTTTCAATGAATTCCACCCACGGTTTCAGTGGGCGCGGGCGCGTGGCGGCGCCGCGCCCACTGCGGCGCGCCCCTCCTACGGAACGTGCCCCACAGAGAGGCCCACCTACTGCCTTAACTGGGCGTGGTCGCACGGCGGCGCGCGTGCCCGTCTCTCGGCGCACCTCCGCACGGATCGTCCCCACAGAAAGGTCTACATGCAGCCTCATTGGGTGCGCTTGCTTGCGGGCCTGTGCCCATCTCAATGCACCCCTTCGCCCCTTGGGCTGACAGGTGCAGGGGTAGCATGATTGGTGTCCCCTGGACGGGGAGACGGAGCAGGACAGGGATGAGGAGGACGAGCAGGACAAGGAATGAGAAAGCTGAGGCAGACACAGAGGCGGACTGGGATCAGCAGCGACAGTGGCTGAGGAGGGGGGAGGAAGAGGGCGAAGAGAGACCACTGTACAAGATCGAGGGTCACGTGATCAGCAGTCTACCTGGATCGCGGCATTTGCTTGAATGCTGATGATTCCAGCTGCGGACGACTCAACATCGGTTGGATGTGATTTCCCTTGGTGTCAATCCCTAGCTTTAAGTCGGGCATGTCACTCAACAGGAGGAATATCCCGAAATAGCCAAAAAAACATGTAAGTCTGGGGACGATTTGTCGATGATTGTTGAATATGTTTGGGTATGCTAGGGGTCTTTTTCATTTCTCGTCCACTATCCGCCTGTAGGGGGGCATGCCCGACCTAACCCTGGCTCAGATATGACGATCGCCACTGCCGGGGCGAAGGTTTACATCCAACGGCAGCGGAACAGGAAAAGGTGCGAGCACATACGCACACACAACACACACACACACACAACAACAACAACAACAA